ATTATTATTATTATTAACTTTTGTTGTTATAGTTGTTGTTATTGTTCTTAGTATTAATATCATTATTATTTTGTTTTTATTATTATTGTTATTATTGTTATTATTATTGTTGTTGTTGTTGCTATTATTACTATTATAACAGTTATTATTATTATTATTACTATTATTAGTATGATTATTATTTTCTGTTATTTCATTGTTATTATTATCAGCATTTATTGTTAGTATTATGTTATGTTATAATAATGATTATTATTATTGTTGTTATTTTTATTATTGTGATTATTATTATCATCACCATCATCATTGTCATCTTTAACATCATCATCATTTAATTTCTCAAAGCTACCTCTCTCCATTTTGTTACCTGTGTGCATACTAGCTACTGGAGATAAAAATCAATAGTCATCCTGGGTTTAATTAATTAGGAATTAGGCTTAAGTTAGGCTTTGATAATGAGAATCGTGAGGTTTTGTACTGGTATTTTGACAACTCTTTATAGTCTAACTATAGAGGTTGTCTTTCCTAGATATTTTAGATGTAGGTTATATAAGAGGATTTCCTGTCATGAAGTTGTTGCTGTAATTGTTTGGAATGTAAATATTTGAAAGGTCCGGATGATTAAGTTTATTTTGAATTTGAACTTTTGTTTATGGTTTAAAGAAGTTTATGTGGTGTGTGGGTGAAGCTAATTTAAATTCATATTGACTTTTTTTCAACTTTCTTCACGCCTTAAGCACAGTAAAGGATATAACTAGTGTTGTACAGCATAGAGGTACAGGAATCTGTTTAGGTGACAGATTACAGAATCAGACTCAGAAGTTTTCTCTTTAATAATTATTATTAAAAAGATAACACTTGTTATTCTGACTGAAGCTTTTGTTCTCCCAGACATTTCACATCTTTTGTACCAGTATCATGATCTTTCAACACACTGCATTTTAGCTCTTTATAACCACTGTTTTATGTCCTTGGATCTGTTGTCCAGAATGATTATTTTCATCAAAACATCTATGACTCATGAGAAATTTGTGTCAATATTGGATCTGCGAGGAGAATCTCATGAGTTGTCATGCATGTAATATGTACTCTACTGCTATTTAAAACTTGTAGTGAATACCTATTATGTGAATACATTTTCTTTGTTTCATTTAAACAAATATTCACACATCCTTATTCATATATCTGTATTTTCTACATGCTTTGATAAGGAATATTAAAAGTATGAGTCCTTTTATGATACTCAGTAGAGGTTTTCTTAGTCTACCTGAGACTTGTAAATGCCAGATGAGGGAGGTGGATGGAGGGGGGTTAGGCATAGAGCCAAAGCCCTGGCCTGGGCAGAGGGAGGTGCCAGTATGAGCCAGGCAGCCACAACAGCTGATAGTGCTTCCTATCTAAGATCTGTTCCCCTTAGAAGCCCTCCATGAAAAAAATGTATCTCATTGTGTTGAATTGAGTTCACTTAGCTTAGTGTGCCTTGCATGGCAAACTGTCCAAAATGCAGGCTTAGGGAGTGTGAGCTCTGAGGCTATTGCTGCTACCTAGTGACCTTAGGAGTCTAGAACCTCTCAGATACTAACTACAATGGGATGTAAGAATCCAAGTTCATTCATTAGTGAGACTACAGTCCTTGCATGTGGGTGAGTGACCAAAAAAGACCTTGACCTTGTTAGTTGTTATTGCTATTTGCTAAAATTCACTTTGACCTATTTAATTATTTTTCTTTCATATACTACACCTTTTTTCTGTTTTTCTTACCTGTCAACTTCTTTAAAGACTTTGTATTATTTGATTGATAAGTAATACTATGTGCTAAATGTATTATTTGATTGATAAGTAATACTATGTGTTAAAACTATATATCAGGGAAGGAATATTTTGAAATAATGTGCCCAATGTGTGCTCATATCTTGTCAAGAATGTGGTAAGAAATGTCATAACATAAATAACTTAGTAACATCAAGAGTACATAGTAGGTAGTGACTAGAATCTTTTTACAATATAAGGTGAATACTGATAGCTTATCTCTCTTTGATAGTTATATTAGGTGGATACTTAAATGGTCCAAGATAGGCAGACCAGTTTTTCACCATCATGCGTTAGTCTGACTGTCTGTGCTTGGGTGACTTCTCGATGTGTACCTCATGGGATTATTTTAATGTATATGTAATGTCAATTGTGATTATATTTGATTAAGATTTTTTTTTTCTATATTTCTGATTTTTTTGCAGTATTATGATTTCTATAGTTATATTAGGTAGGATTTTATGAGTCTTCTAGTACAACTGAAATATGCTCATTCATGGAGAGTAAATGCATCTGTATAGGTGTGGTTTTGGTTGCTTGTGCTTATGTAGTGTGCCATTTAGAAATGTACTCATTTGTGTAGAACAAGTACATTTATAGAAGAGTTTATGTGTGTGTTACTTATTTATTTATCTATTTTTATTATAACATATTTTACAGCACAATGTTTACCAACAGGTTATGTATGAAAGAAGAAATCCAATGAGAAGAAATGAGTGATGGCTTGATCATCAGTATTTTTCAAAATGATGATAAGGTTCAAATGGGCAAGTTAGGTTTAATATATTAGGATGCATATAATGATTATGAAAATAGTAATGTTCTCATTATTTTATTTATGATTATAATAGA